ATTTAACAGCCTACCTAGACATCCTGTCTCCACTAAACATTTCTAATACAACAAGTATCTAACCAATTTCTATCTGACTAAAAATACCTAACAAGTCCCTAGAAAATGAGTGGAGAGTCGGGATGTTCTAGCTCCAGGCTAGTTATCTGTTCTGCCAGGAGCTGTAGTGTGCTAGTGTAGGTCTGTGGTCTTATGTACACTCCCATTAAAATGAAATTGTTAAATTCACGAGGAGAATAAAAAGGTTTGCAGTTGATAATAAGAGTCTCTAGGTCTGCATTACATGTCCTTTGTAGCACTGTGACATCTGTTCACCAACCTTCATTTATGTAGAAGTAGATTCCACCTCCTCTCGTTTTCCCGGACAGCTCCGTGACGCAATCAGCTCGGTATACCTGGAAGCCCAGTACTCGTATCGCACTGTCCACGATTGAGTCACTCAGCCAGGTCTCCGTGAAGCACAAAGCAGCAGAGCGTGCAAAGTCAGAGTTAGTCCTGTTGACGAGAAGAATTTCATCCATTTTGTTGACCAGGGAGCAGAGATTTGCCAGGTGAATAGATGGGAGTGGAGTCCATGTTCCCCTCTGGCGTAGCCTCACCAAGGCGCCATCGTTGCCAGCACCAAAAGTATCTAATGGAGTCTCTATTGTCAGTACTAGCCAGTGAAACCATAATGAACCAGTCCCTATAGCCTACAGATTGCATTGCAATGATCTTTGAAATCTCTGCCTGACCATGTAGCCTACTGAATGTTGAATTTTTATGTGGCCCAAATTCTGCTACAACAATGTGACCCAAAGATGTACACATACTGCATGTGACTATCTGCTAGAGGTTGGAGAAAAAAAATTTACAGTATTTACCTTAGAATCACAGTTCATATTTTCTGCAATCCTAAATCTATTCACAAAGGCACATAACAGCGGGGTGCAAGATGCTAGCAGACAGGGCATACATGGAACGCCATAACCAAGTGGCTGGCATAGTGTATAGAAACATCTGTGCCGAGTACAGGCTGGAAGTCCCAAAGTCAAAATGGGATACACCTCCAAAGGTGGTTGAGAATGACCAACCAAAGAAAATTGCTCATTTTTACAGACCTGTGTCTGTTTTACATTATGCTGGTTGTCTGTAGTAGTAACACTGTAGCACAGATGCTGTTCTCCACTGCTACAGGTGTAACGTTAACAACACAACTGAGCTCTTTACTTTGCTCTCCCTCTCCTCCCTTTACAACACACATGCAGCTACCAAAAACAGTGGAAGAAGTACAAGAGTGTAAAAAGGCTCAAAGCCATGCATTCAAAATATTACTCAAGTAAAAGCACAAAAGTATTAGCATCAACATATAACCTAAAGTACCAAAAGTACTCATTATGCAGTTTGGCACATTTATGTTATTGTATTATAATTATTGATGCTTTATTGTGTTCATCACATTTGATGCTGCAGTTGGAAAAGATGGAGCATTTAAAAATAAAACAATTACAATATTTTTGTCATAATATATTTCTGTTAATTAAAAGTAAAATTCAAATAGCAAAAAATACAGCAGCATCATCACTAATCCTCAATAACATTTTAATTTGAAAATCAGTGATAATAAAGCGAAGGGGGCCCCAAAATCATATACTCCATCCCTGACTTCATTCAACCTAAAGTGTTGCTCAGTTAATACCTATAAAACTATATGGAAATTTTCTATTTCACTGCATGACAGTTTATAAGGATAATCACCTTTATTGGCCAAGTATGTTACACACAAGTAATTTGTTTCTGGTATAGAACCGAGGCAGCCATCTGCAGCGCCAACTCAACTGACAGCTCTAACCATCGGGGACAACAGTGTCTTGTGTAAAGCTTTGAAAGATGGACCTGGATATGTGGTTGGCTGAATTTATACAGACTCTCGGTTGTCAGGTAGCGCCACGGTCGCCTGTCAAACATGCATGCATATCTACACAGACACAATAACTAGAAGACAAAAAAGGTAACTACAATTAATGGCCATCAGATCAAAAAATACTGAAAGAAGATGTTGGCTATGGGTGCATAGCCATTTAAAATATTTGGCTTAGCTTGTTAGGGAAAACTCTGTAGTTCAAAATAATTAATGTACTGTCATCTGTCAGACCATGGTTTGCTTGAAAATACAAGTGTAGATAAACCATTATTTGCAGAGAACTCACATTATAAAGCAGCTGATTGTTTAACAGGAAACTCACAGCAGATATTATAGTTCTATTAATGCAGCATTATAGATTTATGAAGATATTTCAAACACAGTATATCATAGTATAGCAATAATTTCTGACATGTATTTAAAACTAGATAAAATCTTAAAAACCCCAAAACCCAATAAGTGTGCATTTGTATGACTTCGTATAAGCCAAAACGTAAAAATAAAAAAGGGTAGAATAAAATCTGACAGGCTATAGTGTTTACAATGGAAACTTCACAAGAGGAAAATAGAAATAACTGCACTTTGTGGAGGTTAAACAATGTATGTATCTCAACAAAATAAAATGTGTGGAGATAAACAGCACCACTGGATAAAAGCATTTGTCTGTAAAGCTATATAAGCCAGTGTAAACAAACGTAGGCACATAGGCACTTGAGGGATGGCGATCTCTGCTCTCTTTATTGGTCTGAGATTGGCTTTATGTTTGCTGGAACCCAAGTCAGCTTTTACCTTGAATAATTGTGGGGATGGTCTGAAACAAAGTGCTGGGTGTATGGAGACTAGGGCCAATATGGGGATTATTACTGAAGCTGCATCTGTGCATACACACAAACATGCACACAGTGAAGCATAACTACACCAGCAGGCCTGCGCCACTCAAGTGCACAGGGAGGTCAGTAACAGGGAGAGGTAGGGGATAAAAGGCTGTGATTGTGTGGGACTGATGTCTAAATTTGTATGATGTTATTACAGTCTTTTTGCAATGCTGTTGTCTTGTATGTAAAACGCCTGTTCTTGAACAAAGAGCCAATTCAGTATTAAATGCATTCTATATATTCCAGGTTATTTTAATTTGCGAAGTAGGGTCATGTAAAAAGATAAGCTTTTTTGGTTTTATTGTTTATTAACTAAAAATACTGTATAGCTGTGTTGTTGATTTTTTGTTCTTAAGGATGCAGTGAGGCTAACAGCTATTGTCCCTAACAATTGCAGTTCTTCTTCATAATGTGTTTTCTGTGAAAGTTATGACGTGTCCTTATTTGTAGCCTACATTTCAACAGTGACATGAGTGTCTGTGTGCAGCATTGATGGCCGTGAACTGCGCTTCTCACGTGCAATGATCTTTGCCATTGAGGAGATTAACAACAGTATGAAGCTGCTGCCAGGCATCAGGCTTGGTTATCAGGTCCATGACTCTTGTGCTGCAGTGCCTGTGGCAGTGCATGTGGCTTTCCAGCTGTCGAATGGACTGGATCTTGTATTTTATACCAGCAACAGCTGTTCTAAATCTGGTATGGTGATGGCTGTTGTTGGTGAGACTGGGTCCACACCATCCATCAGCATTTCACGCATCATCGGGTCCTTTAATATTCCACTAGTAAATACTCTGAATTATTAATAAACTGTATTTAAAATATGCCCACCATTTCACTGTGCTATTACCAAATGACCCTATTGTTTTGCTTCCCTTCAGGTGAGTCACTTTGCCACTTGTGCATGCCTATCTGATAAGCGTCAGTACCCAAGCTTCTTCAGAACAATCCCCAGTGATCATTTCCAGGCTGCTGCACTGGCCAAGCTGGTGAAACACTTTGGATGGACTTGGATAGGTGCTGTCCGGTCAGATTCAGATTATGGGAATAATGGTATGGCGTCTTTCCTGGATGCAGCGCACAAAGAGGGGATCTGTGTTGAATACTCAGAATCTTTCTATCGGACCCAACCTCGTGGCAGGATCCAGAGAGTGGCTGATGTTATTCGCAGGGTTCTATGGCACAAATTTTGCCATTTCCTCTGTGCTGACACTACATGTCTACAAAAAAATTGACAACAAGACTTAGTCAAAGAGAAGATTATACAAAAATTATTTTATTGGCAACTCATTTGTATGTCATCACTCTTATTGTTGTCATACAGTCAAATAAAAAGTGAGAACAAAACTGTATATTCAACAAACCAAAACTTTAAAATATTGCTGGTTTGTTTGTTTGTGCTGGTTTATGTTGATAATCTTGAAACATTTTGCAAAACAATTTGTGTTTTTTGCATTATATAATAGATTGTTCTTTCAGGTCAACAGCTATGGTTGTTGTGGCATTTGTAGCCGCAGGAGACATGAGGCTCCTGCTGGAGGAGTTGTCTCGTGAGCCTTCCCCACCTCGCCAGTGGATAGGCAGTGAGGCCTGGATAACCCATCCAGACATGATGAGGTTCACGTTCTGTACAGGAGCCATTGGATTTGCCATTCAGAAATCTGTCATCCCAGGTCTGAGAGACTGCCTGCTGGATCTCTCTCCCACTAAAGTGGCAGCTTCTCCAGTTCTGACTGAGTTCTGGGAGGATGCATTCAACTGCAGGCTGAAACAAAGTGAGAACGTTGAGCTGATTCTGAATTAATGTAAATTTTATAATATATGATTCAATTACACCTAGTATGATTTTAGGTGCTGCCACAGACAGGAGGGTGTGTGATGGAAGTGAAGACATGCAGAAACTCCAGAACCCGTACACTGACACATCTCAGCTCCGAATCTCTAACATGGTGTACAAGGCTGTTTATGCAATAGCACATGCCATTCATAACACAGTGTGTCAGGAGACTAATTCTACAACTCAGTGTGACAAACTCACCAGGATCGAGCCCAAACAGGTCACTTAAAAGGATGAAATGAGCAGTTCACTGTATTTATTTAAAAGTAATGTACCTTTTACTAAATGAAATATAACTTTTTCTTTGTATTACAAATAATTTAAAAGCCCAGGACATTTATTTAAAAAAAAATGTGCACTTTAAAGAATTAAATATTAATTTTACATTCTTTCTTTTCTGTGTTTCACTGTCCTAATTTATTCCAACCTCACAGGTTCTTACTGAGCTGAAGAAAGTAAATTTTTCCCAGAATGGTTATCATGTGTCATTTGATGCCAATGGGGATCCTATGGCCACATATGAGCTGGTTAACTGGCATAAAAGTGAGAGTGGCAGCATTGTGTTGGTGACCGTAGGGTATTATGATGCATCACTGCCACTGGGCCAGGAGTTACATATCAACAGGAACCTCACCTGGGCACAGGGCAGCACACAAGTGAGGAGCAATAATATAGTGTTAAATCTTGGTGAAATGAATTATATCAGTTCTGTAACAAAAGTACAAATCTGTGTGATTTTGTCTATGTACTGTATGTGGCAGGTGCCTGTGTCAGTGTGCACTGACAGCTGTCTTCAAGGAACTCATAAAGTGCTGCAGAAAGGAAAACCCATCTGCTGTTATGATTGTGTCCCATGTCCTGAAGGAGAGATCAGCAATGCTACAGGTAAAATAAAATGGTTTCTCATGCATGTCAACCATATCAAATGTGTTACTGCTAAAACAATGTTTTGATTTACTCTTTCAGATTCCTCAGATTGTTTCCCTTGTCCCAAGGAGTTCTGGCCTAATGCAAACAAAGACACATGTTTCCCCAAGCTTGTAGAGTTTCTTTCCTTTGATGAGGTCCTAGGAATCATCCTGGCTGCATTCTCAGTTGGTGGTGCCTGTCTGGCCATTATAACAGCCAGTGTATTCTTTCGACACAGAACATCTCCAATTGTCAGGGCCAACAACTCTGAGCTGAGCTTCCTGCTGCTCTTCTCCCTGACTCTCTGTTTCTTATGTTCATTAACTTTCATTGGAGCACCCTCTGAGTGGTCCTGCATGCTGCGCCACACAGCGTTTGGGATCACCTTTGTCCTCTGCATCTCTTGTGTTCTTGGTAAAACTATAGTGGTGTTAATGGCCTTCAAAGCGACACTTCCAGGCAGTAATGTGATGAAATGGTTTGGTCCTCCACAGCAAAGAATAACTGTAGTGTCTTTCACATTTATCCAAGTGTTAATATGTACTATTTGGTTGGTTGTTAGCCCCCCTTTTCCAATGGAAAATCTAACCATATACAAAGTATGAATCATTCTGGAGTGTGCATTGGGCTCAGCTGTTGGGTTCTGGGCTGTGCTCGGGTACATTGGCCTACTGGCTGTCTTTTGCTTTGTGTTAGCCGTCCTAGCCCGGAAACTACCTGATAACTTCAATGAAGCCAAGTTTATCACGTTCAGCATGTTGATATTCTGTGCAGTCTGGATCACTTTTATCCCAGCATATGTCAGCTCTCCTGGGAAGTTTACTGTGGCTGTGGAGATATTTGCTATTCTGGCCTCTAGTTTTGGTTTAATACTGTGTATATTTGCTCCAAAGTGTTTTATCATATTGTTTAAACCAGAGAAGAACACCAAGAAACATTTAATGAATAAATATTAATCTTAGTACACCTTCTGGGGTTTGGAAATAGTTAACATGGTCTCCATACAATATGGAGTTTGTGCATATTTAAAACAGTCAAGAAGGTTTTTCCATTAATTTTGTTATTATATTATTAGGCACATTTTTTTGTGTATCTCCTTTTAATTTGTTGTCTTATTTTGCAGTTTTTATCTTGTGTTTAAATTATACAGTAAAATAAAGTTCAAAAAGAAGTCAAAAATCTTGTAAAAGTCCCTGTCTTGATATTTATGACAAAACTGCTTCCTTAAGAGTAAAAAACAAAGGGTGACAACGCACTCGATGCTGATTCTTTAAACTCAACTCATAGTATATTACATAATGTAGTGTATAAATGTACTTGCTTTTTCTATTTAATAAACTATACATGGTTATATACATTTACAGTTGAACCTTGATTTTTGAAGTCCATGGTGGCATGGTGGTGAAGTGGTTACCACCATCGCCTCACAGCAAAAGGGTTATGTGTTTGATGTCATTAGGAATAATGTTAGGAGTTATGGCTATACATACACCGAGAAAAAACCCACACATGAACAAGAGTGGGTGTAATAACTGTAAAATGGTATTTTTCCTGTTGAGTATTCAGAAAATATACAAATTACTCTTTGTATAAGTAATAATGTGCAGCATAATGTACAATGCTTTACTCATTTAGATTTGTAATGACTCTGGCAAGAGACTTGTACAGGTCTCTCGTTCTTAAGTACTCCGTTTTATCCCTATTTATCTAATTTCAATTAACATTCCTTTGTTGTCTGCATTGTTTACTGTCTGTTTATACTGCTTTTTCCACATTGTTTGTACTGTTTGTTGATGTTAATACTGCTATTTTGTTATATTACACAGCCTTATGCTGGTTTACTGATTTGCACATTGAGAGCCGATGTACCAGAGTCAAATTGCTCGTGTGTCCGTCACACCTGGCGAATAAAGCTGATTCTGATTCTGATGAAGTAGTTAAACTGCTTCCCCAGAGTAGTCTCACCAGTTTTCCATTAAGATGACCAACCATCAGTCAATAACATCATTACACCTTTTCTCTAATAAACACATTGATTATGTCCTGCCTAACACCCCTCTCTTGAAGGAAACATTACCGTCCATGGTCCATCTCTTCTGCAGTTGTTAATGTTTACTGGGCAGGTCAGTTGTACTCAGGATGAAACAGAGGACTCAAACAACAGGACTCAAAATCAAGGTGCAAAATTTGATTTATTAAATAGACCAGACTAGGTTAGGCAAGGGACTGACTGCAGGTAGGACAAATGAGTTCACCACTCAGTCAGATGAGGTTGGGTCTGGTCGATCAGGCGAATGCCCAGTAGAGGAGCAGGGCACAGGCTGGTGCTAGAAGGACAAGGCTGTCTGAACTGAACTGTTGGTTACTTATGGAGAAAATGGCAACTGGGTTATCTGACTTGAGTGAGGCTGGCAGGAGGGTCCAGGGTGATGGCGAAGAAACTGGCTTGGAGTACAGTTTATCGGCGGATGAGTGGCGGCTCAGCAGAGATTGGAGAGAAGTATGGAAGATGAGGTCAGCAGGCAGGGTTGTGGTGGTTAGGTGCGGTCCAAAAGGGGCATGCAGACAAAAGGCTACAGAGGTCCAGTGACAACCTGGAAGCTGTATACAGAGACAAGGTTCCAGTAGGAGAGTGGTGAGACCACAGATGACCACAGGACAAGGAAACCGTCTGGAGAGAGCAGGCACAAGCCACCCAGCAACAAGGGATCAGTTTGATGAGCAGAGCTAGAGCAGGACTGGGCGAAACACTCACAGCAACGAGGAATGGGCAGGTGAGTTTAACTGGTGCAGAACTGGAGACAACTCATTCAGTGACAAGGAACTGGATGGTGAAGTAAAGCTGGGGCAGAGCTGAAAAGAAGTCACCCCACAATGAGGAACAGGGAGGTTAGTAGAGCTGGTGTAACACTGGAGACAACTCACTTAGTGACGAGGAAGAGGCAGGTGAGTAGAGCTGGTGCAGGATGGGAGACAACTCACTCAGGCCCCATAATGTCTGGGGTGGTGTGTTTATAGGTCAGAGGGTTTAGGTGGGGTTGTTCTGAGAGCGTGTTCTGTTACTGTGTGGTTGCATTTTGTGTGTATGTTTAGCAGTAAAATGGGAAAAAGACAAGTCCTGGTCTCCCAACCCTTTTTCAGCCAGCAAATGCTACACTGGTGCCAGACGTGGGATCTCTGAGGTAAATGACACCACTTCAAGCTTGCCACCTACCCTGCTTGCAGTGAGAGTCTGCCACAACAGAGCTGCTGATAGAGCCAGTGCTTCACAGTCAACAAACCTGCTGATCCGCACCTCAGGCATGGCACCCCTACTCCACCAAGCCCCAGGGTCAATGGCAATTAGCTGCTCAGCTTGCCCAGAACTGTAGATGACTCCGCTGGCACTGAGTGCTGCAGGACCAGTGAAGAGAAGGAGGAGGCAGTCTGCCAGGCTGCCCATGTGCTGCCATCGCCATCACTGCAGAGGAGACATGCAAGAGACCAGTAGAGCAGAGCAGAGGGGGGTGCAACCGCTGTGGCGAGCTGAGCCATGTTGCATGTCACTGCCTAGCACAGGTGCCCTCGAACCTGGCAGCCAAAGCCTTGTTAAACTAGGGTGGGATAGCGCTAGGAGGGAAACGCCTTCCCCAGATGACTCATTTACCCTCAATATACCAAAGTTGAAGCTTGGCCGCCTGGGCTGGGTACATAGAATATATGTGGACTGTGAAATGAATAGCCTCTGATGCCGGTCCCTGGTGGACATGAGGTCCAACATCTCCCTGGTTCAGCTGGGGAAGCTGCCAGGGATGAGTAGGTCAAGACTGTGGGGATGGAAGACCCTTGAGGTGACTGTTGCTGGCCACACCATGGCACATCAGTTCTGGTTGGCTAACATCCAGGACCCATGCATTATTGGCCTTGATCTGCTGACTAGGTGGGAGGCCGTGATAGTCATGCCCAGGTCCACACTCCACCTGGGTGCCGAAGCAGTGGCAATCCACCAGCTGGCTGGGGAGGGGGTATGAGAAACTGCTGCACCATCAATATCAATGATATGATATCAATATTATAACAACACCAAAAAATATTTAAAATAAAATTTTTCCTGACAGTATTAAATGTGTACATAGTAAACTCAATATTATATGGTGTTATATTGGATATTTCCAAACCTCACAAAGTGTACAAAGACTTTTTGATTTTTTCATTAAGTATTTCTTGGTGTTCTTCTCTGGCAATATGATAAAACACTTTGGCAATCAAACAGATAACATCAAATTATTTGCACTATTATTTATTTTAACTGCAGTCTGATGCAGTAATAATTATTTTAATGACAGTTTTTCACATTTTGGTTGTGAATTTTGACTTTATTTACTTTATTAATAACAATAAAAAATTAAAGGTAAAAACTTTGTGTCAAATGAGCACAACATAAACTCTATAATGCATCTCAAATATTTACAAGTCTCGCAAACTGTACTAGGATACATATTTGTTAATTACATATTTCTTGGTGTTCTTCTCTGGTTTAAACAATATGATAAAACACTTTGGAGCAAATATACACAGTATTAGTCCAAAACTAGAGGCCAGAATAGCAAATATCTCCACAGCCACAGTAAACTTCCCAGGAGAGCTGACATATGCTGGAATAAAAGTGATCCAGACTGCACAGAATATCAGCATGCTGAAGGTGATCAATTTAGCCTCGCTAAACGTGATAAACTTGGCTTCATTAAAGTTATCAGGTAGTTTCCGGGCTAGGACGGCTAACACAAAGCAAAAGACAGCCAGTAGGCCAATGTACCCGAGCACAGCCCAGAACCCAACAGCTGAGCCCAATGCACACTCCAAGATGATGCTGTCTTTGTTTATGCTTAGGTTTTTCATTGGAAAGGGGGGACTAACAACCAACCAGATAGTACATATTAAGACTTGGATAAAGGTGAAAGACACTACAGTCATTCTTTGCTGTGGAGGACCAAACCATTTCATCACATTACTGCCTGGAAGTGTCGCTTTGAAGGCCATTAACACCACTATAGTTTTCCCTAGAACACAAGAGATGCAGAGGACAAAGGTGATCCCAAACGTTGTGTGGCGCAGCATGCAGGACCACTCAGAGGGTGCTCCAATGAAAGTTAATGAACATAAGAAACAGAGAGTCAGGGAGAAGAGCAGCAGGAAGCTCAGCTCAGAGTTGTTGGCCCTGACAATTGGAGATGTTCTGTGTTGAAAGAGATTCGGAGCTGAGATGTGTCAGTGTACGGGTTCTGGAGTTTCTGTACGTCTTCACTTCCATCACACACCCTCCTGTCTGAAGCTGTACCTAAAACATGCAGAGAGAGAGGCAGATTTTTTTTTTTAGCCTCAACAATTATGTTATATTATTATCCTTTCATGTATATTTTTGATTACTGTTTTGTTTTTGTGTTATTAAACCCACCAAATGTGCCTTACAGAAACAATATTATATATTTTTCTAATTTAATTATAAATTATTCTTATTTTACATCAGATTTCAAACCACTGATGCACTGGCTTTTGTGATTTTTTTTTCCTTTTTTGAACCCTTATATGTAACAACTCACATTAACATAAGTCTCAAAAACATTTATAAAAATACATAAAATGTTTAACAACTTCTCATTTAATTAAAAGTTTTAGTTAGTGTAACAGAATAATTTAACCAAATGTAAATATATTTTAATTGATACATTTCTATTTTGGTGGATTACATACTATATACAGTATACACACAGAAGTATACTGTGTGTATACAGTATACTTGTGTGGGCTTCATTGCTAGTATTGTGAAACCACTACACAGTGGTTCACATAAAAACCTTTTCCAGACTGCAGAGTGCCTACTTTTGATCGGAAAGATTATCATATGAATTGAGATACACCATGTGTGCACCTCTTGACTTTGTTCAATATGAATGGATTTTAATAAAAAATCTGTTTAGTCTTGATGCAGGGCTTGAGTTTTCAATACAGAAAGTTGCATTCACACAATAAATAGAACAGCACAACCACAAGGACCCAACTGTGACTCTCACATATGTTTATTTAAACATCAGCTCAACTTTCTCACTTTGTTTCAGCCTGCAGTTGAATGCATCCTCCCAGAACTCAGTCAGAACTGGAGAGGCTGCCACTTTAGTGGGAGAGAGATCCAGCAAGAAGTCTCTCAGACCTGGAATGACAGATTTCTGAATGGCAAACCCCATGGCTCCGGTACAGAAGGTGAACCTCATCATGTCTGGATGAGTTACCCAGGCCTCACTACCTATCCATTGGCGAGGTGGGGAAGGCTCACGAGACAGCTCCTCCAGCAGGATCACCATGTCTACATCTGATGCAAATGCCACAACAACCATAGCTGTTGATCTAGAAAGACATCACAGTGCATTATAATATATTTCAAATACAGTAAGTTTTGTGTATGGCTTCAGATTTTAAATACAAAACACTTAAATAAATAAAATATTTAAATTCTTAGTGAGTTGAATATGTAGTAAAATAGCTGCTATGACTTTAAAAATAATTATTTTCTAAACTTCTACTTCACTAAATCTTGTTGAGGTTTTACATTTATAAACTTGTCCTTGAATAAGGGTTGTGGTTTTGTGTGTAGAAATGCAGTGTCAGCACAGGGAAGACAAGCACAGTCTGAGCTGTAGAAACCTGCGGATAACATCAGCCACTCTCTGGATCCTGCTATGAGGTTGGGTCCGATAGAAAGATTCAGAGTATTCAACACAGATCCCCTCTTTGTGTGCTGCATCCAGGAAAGACGCCATACCATTATTCCCATAGTCTGAATCTGACCGGACAGCACCTATCCAAGTCCATCCAAAGTGTTTCACCAGCTTGGCCAGTGCAGCAGCTTGGAACTGATCACTGGGGATTGTTCTGAAGAAGCTCGGGTACTGATGCTTATCAGATAGGCATGCACAAGTGGCAAAGTGACTCACCTGAAGGAATTCAGTGAGATCATTTTGTAAGTGAAATAATTTTGTAAGGGGGCAGTCAAAGCATGGGCATATTTTAAACACATTTTGCCAGTGATTCAAAATATTTACCTGGGGAATATTAAAGGTTCCCATAATGTGTGAAATGCAAATGGATAATGTGGACCCAGATTCACCAACAATAGCCATCACCATACCAGATTTAGAACATGTGTTACCAGTATAAAACACAGGGTCTGGGCCATTAGCAAGCAGAAATGCCACATTCACTGCCATGGACACTGCACCGCATGAGTCATGGATTTGATAACCGAGCCTGATGTCTGGCAGTAGCTTCGTACTGTTGTTAATCTCCTCAATGGCAAAGACCATTGCACGTGAGAAGCGCAGTTCACGAGAGTCAATTCTGCATACAGATTCTCATGTTACAGTTTAAATGCACACTGCATATAAGGACAATTTATTAATTTAACAGAAAACAGACAATGAAGGAGAATTGCACTTTCTAGAAGCCTAATGGAAAATATCTAATAGCTGCACTGCATCTGTAAGCACCAAAATTCACAACACAGCTATATTTTCAGTTAAGAAAAGAAAAATATTTTTTTATATAACCAGCCTCCTATATTTGTGAATATACCTGCAATTTTTGACCTGATCATACAAATATAAACATTTTTGTCCCACACAGTCACATCCTTTTATCCTCCTCTTCCCCCTCTTACTTACTTCTCTGTGCACTGCAATGACTCAGGCCTGGTGGTGTAGTTATGCGTCACTGCAGACATGTAATGGTGAATGGAGAAAACACCCCCAATAACATAGTCACCATCCACTGAAAATACAGGTAGGCAAGCAGTACCCTGCAGCTCACACTTCACAGATGAAGCCTCAGTACTGACCACAGCACCAGCCTGAACCTCTGTACACCCAGCACTTTTTTTCAAACCATCCCCACAAATATTCAAGGCCAGAGCTGAGTTCAGCTCAAATAAACCCAGAGCCAATCTCAGACCAACAAAGAGAGAAACAATGTCCATTCTTCAAGTGCATAAGTGGGTTTTCAATGATTTATAATGTTTCAGACAAGTGCTTCCCTCCTTCAACTGTACGTCAGCTTATTAGACATTAGAGGGGATGCCCTTAATTTGTGCACTGTAAAAAAAAAAAGTCATAAAAACATTTAAAAATCTGGCAGCAAAGTTCTCATACAATTTCTGTTAAATTACGGTAAAATGCTACATTTTATTCTACCATAAAATGTTGGATATTCCTAATATGTAGGTGTACACCCTGTAGTTTTACAGTCTAATTTTGGTACACTTCTATTCTCCCAATTTAAAAAAAATTGCAAAAAGTAGCAAGGAAATGCTCTATTTAAAAAAACTTTGATTTTCTGCAATTTGAATATTGATTATCCTCTAAAATATAGTAAACTATTTACATTTACACTACCCTCTTTTTAACAATAGGTAAAGTGGTAGGGTGTTGTATATGTTTATCTTTTAAACACAGCAGGTAACGGTTAAAGCAACAATACATGGCAGTTTGTCTCCCCCTGCAGTTGCTGGCCCTGCATTGGGTCGGGTACCTGATAGGTACCAACAAAACATGATGCAGAACGGGTAAAAAAAAAAATTAATAATTTTGTGGGTACAAGCATGGGTAAAAAATTAACTAAATGCAGCAGGCAGGTAGTGAGTGAAAGTGAGTGTTCTGAAAGTTTAAAATTCATTGAATAACATATGTTGGTTAATATATTGATTAGAACACAGTTTAAAACATACTTAATAATGTAATTTTCATGACAACAGCAAAGTAAGAATTTCACTGTACAGGGAAATTCATTTCCTAACTGTGCATATGACAGGAATTTGTCTCAGCATGTGTGTAAGAATCATAAAATACTGAGCTAAATTGGGTACTGGGCACGCAATAGTGGTGTAGTGCCCACAAGTAGATATTTTGAGAGATGTTTTATCCCGTGGAACTCTGGATATTCAGAATTATCAAACTAACTTTGATTCCAGGTGTTTAGAAGCAGAAAAAGAGACCTTGCCTTGCCCCCAGGACTCTTCTGTCTCCAGAGATCATAACCCCACTTTTTCTCATAACTTTGCTGCAGTAGGATACACATCTTGGACTCACATCTCTGACCTTAGACAATAAGTTTCAATTAATTCAAACAAGTCCAAGACCCTTGCTTCCCTTATCTGATTCCTTCTCAAGAAAACTCAGACACTGGAACTTCTCTGCCCCCACACCGAAATGTGGATGTTGACCATAAAACTTAACTTAATAAGGAGCCTAGTTATGAAGGCTCACCAGCGCATCTTCTTCCTGAGGACTCTGAAGAACCACCTGTCTTCAGCCATCCTGGTGAACTTCTACCGCCGTGCCATCAAGAGCATTCTGACCAGCTGTATCACAGTCTGGTATGAGATCTGCTCCGTCTCCAACTGCAAGGTGCTGCAGCAGGTGAAGAAAACCGCCCAACGCATCACAGAAACTCCACTTCCAGCCATTGAGGGTGTCCTCAGGGAACGCTGTCTCCGACATGCTCGCAACATTTTCAAGGACTCCTCTCACCCTGCTCACAAACTGTTTGACCTCCTGCCCTCTGGGAGGCACTTCAGGAGCCTCTGGACCAAGACCAGTATACTCAGGAGCAGCTTCTTCCCCACAGCTGTCTTCTTACTGAACTCTGTCCCCCATTGACCCCCACTGCCTTCCTCTATACCACTACACACACCTCATCCTTTCTCATTTCTCCTCCTGGGACAAATGCAATAGTGATTGGTTAATTTGTACATACTCAGAATACTGCTGTTATTCATTTGCACACTGTACTGTACACATGCAGATACTGTATATTTATCTTTGCACTATTTACATTGATTGAACTGGTAACTCATTCATTCATTCATTTTCTACCGCTTAGTCCCTGAACGGGGTCACGGGTGGGGCCGGAGCCAATGCCGGCCGGCAATCGGGCGAAGGCAGGGTACACCCTGGACAGGTCGCCAATCCATCGCAGGGCTAACACATAGACAAACAACCACACATACACGCACGCACTCCTATGGGCAATTTAGAGACACCAATCAACCTAAGCTGCACGTCTTTGGTCAGTGGGAGGAAGCCGGAGCACCCGGAGAGAACCCACGCAAGCACGGGGAGAACATGCAAACTCCACACAGAAAGGTCCCAGGTGGGGCCCGAACCCAGAACCTTCTCGCTGTGAGGCAACGGCGCTAACCACTGTGCCACCATGCTGCCCTGGTAACTTCATGCTTCCAGAAATCAATGTCCTTAGTCTGCTTGTCTACATCAAACTGTTTGCGGGCTTTTTTGTGCATCATCTTTAGAAGAGGCTTTCTTCTGGAATGACAGCCTTGCAGACCAATTTGATGCAGTGTGTGGCGTATGGTCTGAGCACTAACAGGCTGACCCCCCCACCCCTTCAACCTTTGCAGCAATGTTGGCAGCACTCATACGTCTATTTCCCAAAGCCAACCTCTGGATATGATGCTGAGCACAGGCACTCAACTTCTTTGGTCGACCATGGCGAGGCCTGTTCTGAGTGGAACCTGTCCTGTTAAAACGCTGTATGGTTTTGGCCACCGTGTTGCAGCTCAGTTTCAGGGTCTTGGCAATCTTCTTATAGCCTAGGCCATCTTTATGCAGAGCAACAATTCGTTTTTTCAGATCCTCAGAGTTAATTGCCATGAGATGCCATGATGAACTTCCAGTGACCAGTATGAGAGAGTGAGAGTGATAACACCAAATTTAACACACCTGCTCCCCCTTCACACCTGAGACCTTGTACCACTAATGAGTCTCATGACACCAGGGAGGGAAAACGGCTACTTGGGCCCCATTTGGCCATTATCACTTAGGGGTGGACTCACTTTTGTTTCCAGCAGTTTAGACATTAATGGCTGTGTGTTGTGTTATTTTGAGGGGACAGCACATTTACATTGTTATACAAGCTGTAGACTCACTACTTTACATTATAGCCAAGTGTCATTTCTTCAGTGTTGTCACATGAAAAGATATAGTTAAATATTTACAAAATGTGAGGGGTGTACTCACTTCTGTGATATACTGTATCTACAAGGAAATTAGAAATGTTTAGTTAAACAGATAAATGATTCCTGAACTTGTTTAAATGAAATGTTTCAGTGAGGTGATTTAAATTTACAGTACATGCTGTCTTTTAGATTTCTCAAACCTAACCATCATAAAAAGATTACTTTCAAATTAACCTCAAACCTCTAACTTAGGATATGGCTCCAAACAATAAGTGTTTTTGATTCTTATTTTGCTTATGCCTTTTTTCAAAGTTAACCTTTGTTTCTCTCCACAAAATTGTATTGTCTTGTGCTTGTCCCTTGTGAAATCATGATGCTTAGGTTTTGTGTCTAAAGAGGAGTTATTCCACATTCCTGTCACATAAATATGTATTTCAAATATGTCAGCTGTGGTGGAGAAAAAGTATAAACTGCATAAACTGGCATAAGACATACTAATTTATAAAACATGCTTAAAAGATTAATCTCTCATTCAGTCACTTGTAGATTGGTCATGAACCTTTTATGGTGCAATCTTAAATTACCAATAGCTGGTGACTCCCAACCAATCAGGTGAAGCCAAGTATCAAGCTAGTGCATGCCTACACCAGTTACTACTGCTCCTTGCTCAGAACAGTCATTCAGAGAACAGAATGAAGAAAGTCTGAGCCTCCCTAAGTGTGTGTCTCTCATCTGCATATTTTTGTGTTTTTTGTATTCAGTTCATTTTTATTTAGATTGCCTGCTCACATTGACAAAAGAAGTGTTCTTCTTGTCTGTTTAGCAATGTATAGTGATTTTTTTTAATCTAATCCTGTCAACCATCAGGAAGCGGCCTGAAGCATTGAGTGCCATTTTTGAATAGCTCTGGTCTAGGTCAAAAGAAACCTTTTGTAGCAAAGTCGAAAGTAGTTTGAAGTAAGCTGAACTGTTTGTGAAACTCCAGAGACACTATCAGAATGACCCCGCAATGATCAGTTTAAATATGTTTTTTTGGTGAGACATCTCTAAACTGCCAAACAATAAAATGGACCCCAGTCAAAACCAGCATCTAAGCAGAGCCATGACTTCAGACTGCCAGCTCATTATGAGGCAGCTTCACTCCAAAGAGGAAGAACAGCTTCTGCATCACAATTCTAAATGGCTTTCGGTGTCTTCGGACCCCCACAAACCTCTACTCTGGCCCAAAGGCTTTGGGAAGATGGCTTCCCCGATCACCCACATGGAATTTCCAGAGCTAATGGCTAACTCCTATTAACAGCTAAGTGACATCATGGGCTAACAGCTGATGTCTCTTAAAATCACAGTCTTCCAAATTTATCATTTAAACCATGAGGTTTAGATCTCAGTCTGGCATGATTTTAGATAACTAACTTAACCAACGTTAAGAACAGACCATTCAGTCATCCGTTAATGTTGCAATGTACCATGTGAATTATATGCTTCACCCTGATCATTTTCCCTGTGTACATATTGTAAATAAATTTATTTAACTTATAAGTGCCTTCATTGTCATCTTTATGTGTCTTTATTTCCAGTAAAGTAGGACAATGAACTGTCAGAGTTCACTGCTTTCAGACTGAGTCCGAATTGATTATCCAGAATTACCAATGAGACTGAATTAATTACTGTTATTGATAACATCATTGATAGTGTGATTGCAGAATTGATTATCCAGAATTACCAATGAGACTGAATTAATTACTGTTATTGATAACATCATTGATAGTGTGATTGCACTCAAACTGTCTGGTGCCCAAGTCCAATAAGGTATTGAAAATTAAATGCAAATGTCCGTGTTCATAAGTGTAGTCATATCTGCAACAGCAGAGATGCCAATCACCTTATTAGACATCAGTTTACCATCAAAATTACTTTAAAACTGTTATTCAAATGTAAAAAAAAGTCAGATATTCTTATTAACCTGTAAATTCTTTGTTATTTCACAGCATTTTGCAGTAGATTTATTATAAATTATGATGCTTATAGAGGATTTAACATGCTTTATTAGTTTACCTGAATGTTAAGTAGTTATTTTTAAGTAAGAATATATAATAATTGCATACTTGAATTTTACAATATTCAACGGCCAAATTTCATCATTGTTGCTGTTAAGCTATAAAGACAATACCCAGTACAACAAAAGTTTAACAAGAATACATGCTTTGAATGTGTTCTATTTTCAACTTACATCAGCACAGACTAATTGGAAGCAAAAACATTGATGCTGAGAATCATTACAAAAATGGCTTGAATGATTCTGAGATCCAAATGAACAATATTACAGTTCCAACGTTGAGGTGATTCACTCAGAGTTAAGCGTATGTGACAAGTATAAATACCATCATCAATGGAGTTCCAATACTGTATTTCATATTGCAACTGGTAAATAAAGAGCAGAGCCACAATTTTAATACACAGGACCTGCGAATCATGTGACATTAATGCACAGGTATTAACATAAAAAAGAAAGAAGGGAACAGTTAAATTTCATTTGGTCATTTTTTAACAAGATAGGATGGATGATAAAGTGCTGGAATCTTACTGTTTGTTTATATATTTATTCTAATGGAAACAAAATGATGCTGGCAGAGAAAGATGCAATCAAATACATAACACATCAGATTATTTGCACTATTATTTATTTTAACCTCAGTCTGATGCAGTAATAATTATTTTGGTGAGTTGCTCAGTTTTTACATTTTTGTTGTAAATTTTAACTTGATTTACTTTATCAAAAACAATAAAAAATTTAACGTAAAAACTATGATTGTGTTAAATGAACACAATATAACCTCTATACTGCATCTCAAATATCTACAAATCTCACAAACTGTACTGGAATACATTTCTCTTCATTACATGTTTCTTGGTGTTATTCTCTGTCTTAAACAATATGATAAAACATCACCATATGAAGAACTGTCATTCTACTTATAAGCATTACCAAATCTAAACATTCAATAGCAAATTACCACTACAGCCTGTTCTCCCCATGCTTGTGTGGGTTCTCTCCGGCTTCCTCCCAGGGTACAAAGACATGCTGTATACAGTAGGTTGATTGGTGTCTCTAAATTGCCCATAGGAGTGATTGTGTGTGTGAGTGGTTGTTTGTCTGTGTGTTGGCCCTGCGATGGACTGGCGACCTGTCCAAGGTGTACCCCGCCTCTCGCCTGCAGCTGGCTGGGATTGGCTCCAGTCCCCCGTGACCCCATTTCGGACTAATTGGTATAGAAAATAGATGGATGGATGGATTACCGCTACATGTGGTAAATAAAATAAAATATTTATTATAAAAATTTTGAGGACTGTTAAATGTGCACAGCAAAAGCTCTATATTGTATTTTACCAATTTAAATTATTACCAAATCTTAGAAAACATATTAGGATATATTTTTATTCATTAGGTGTTTCTTGGTGTTCTTCTCTGGTTTAAACAATATGATAAAACACTTTGGAGCAAATATACACAGTATTAGTCCAAAACTAGAGGCCAGAATAGCAAATATCTCCACAGCCACAGTAAACTTCCCAGGAGAGCTGACATATGCTGGGATAAAAGTGATCCAGACTGCACAGAATATCAACATGCTGAACGTGATAAACTTGGCTTCATTGAAGTTATCAGGTAGTTTCCGGGCTAGGACGGCTAACACAAAGCAAAAGACAGCCAGTAGGCCAATGTACCCGAGCACAACCCAGAACCCAACAGCTGAGCCCAATGCACACTCCAGGATGATTCTGT